GGTGATCAGTCTTTGGAGAACAGTGTAGACATGCGGTTAAATAAGAAATATATTAATACATGCTATAACAAATATGCAAATAAGAAACACCATGACATAGGAAATTACCATAACTAAATAAAAAAGTTTAGATTAAAACAAAATAAGGGCACAAAACTTTATGCAGTTATAATAGTAACATCAAGTGATACATAAAATACATACAGTCTAAATGAGAATTTAAAAGGACAATACACATTTAAACCCTTCAAAGACTTGACACAACAAATATTCTTGCTCTTAGATACATTGAATGTACACAGTACAGTCACAAACTAAAAGTGTGTTCATTATTAATATATTTCTAAAAAAATATTCATAGAGATGTATGTTTGTGTGAACTGCTAAGACTTAATAAGGCTATAATAAATCTAGAGAACTGCAGTGCTTAGTTAAAAAATTATTGCGGTATTCAAAGCAGATGAACCAATTTTTAAAAGAAAAATATTCTTGTGTGTACTTAAGGATTGAAGAATCATCCCAGACCGCAGCACTAGTGACACTCACTAGTGATTCAAACAGTGCTGTACCACCAATGGATAAGAACTGATAAGCAATAAGCTAAAACAGAAAGGACAAAAAAGTATCCCAGTGACCTAGTAAATTAAGGAAGAAAAATGTGACACTGATTAAGCAGATAGTACACAAAAAGGAAAAAAGAAATTAGCATACAACAAATATATACTCTGACATTAAGCATTTTAGTCATCATAAAGAATTCATTTATTATGATTTATTTTGACACTGACACTAGAATTCAAATAGATACTTAAAACAACTAAATGTGAGACTACATCAACTATATGCCAAATACAAGAATACTTCATTATCTAACCAAAGGTAAACCATGAGCAGTTTTCAGATGAGAACAAAACATTTCCGTTCAGGAGTCTAATTATAAATGCCAGTACAAAATTGAGTATTCATTTCTATTACATTTATAAGCAAAATGTCTTTTTTAAGTAAAAAAAAATGGCTTAAATTCAGGTTCTAACTTAACTCTTAAAAACTGCAATATTGTGTGTTACATTTTCTAAACCCCTTCCCCTCATCACACAATTCCGCCCCCCCCCCCCCTAGTGTGACATTGTTTATAGATGACCTCTTAGTTGAACTTTGCAATTAGAAACAATTATAAATGTGACTGGTAGAATGTACATAAACTTCCAAAAAACAACATTAGTGCTGATAACATCTCAGACACAACAATTAGCCAGCGGGCTGAATGGAATGGCTGACCTTTAAACTGTTGTTATATATTCAGTGTATTCACATCCAACACTTTTGGTTTGAACCATATATATAAAAGAAAGTGTAATTATATTTTATGCACTACCATTCATCTCATTGCCATGAAACCAGAGTTTATTCCAGGCATCTCTTCGGGAAAGAAGGTCTACCGCCCCACGAATGAAATTGAATTTATATAGAAACTACATACTTTTAACAGTGTCCACCCCCCACCGAAAAAAAAAAGGTACGGAAGAAACACTGCATAAAACTAGGAAGTTGTTGAGTACACTCTCACATAGGTTTTTCTCAAGTTTCAATTTCAGAGGAATGTTCTGTTAGTAGTGCTGCTGAACTCACCTAGATTTCCTATGGCAAACTGAGAACACTACTGAGCCTAAATAAATTTTAAAGAGTGTCTCACTGTAGGCCATTACAATCTAAACAGAACCAGAGGAGGCACCTGTAGTAATCGGTGGCTCCCAAGAGCGCTCTGTGACAACCCTGACACCTGGGCAACAAACAAGGGAAGCTTTACCTTACCCTTGCGGACGGTGATCAATGTAAACTAGGATTACACACAGGTCACCATTGGGCATCTAGCAGGAGCGTGGACAAACCCCCAACAACTAAGATCCATGAAATGTGGTGCCAGCATTGTCCACAAAACAGTTATTCAAACAAAATGATACATTTGATATCCAGGACTATCTCTTAACATAACCTGATGATATAATAACAGGAGCTCACACAGAAGTCAGTGGACTTAACACCAGTCTTAGTAAATTACAAGTCATTGTTAACTGTCCTTCTATGATCTTCTAAATTCTAAATATCTTTTTGATCTCTGATGCTAGGATCACAGATAAGCCAGAAAATGAAGCAAAAAAATAAAAATGAGGTCCCACGTCTAAAAAGGTATCTTTAGTAACAAGCTTCCTTGAATTTCCTTTCTGCTTTCTTTGCACTTAGTAACCACACTGGAAGAGATTTCCTCCAACACAATTAAGTATTACAAGTTCGAACTATGGACTTTTCTGAAATTGCAGCAAAGCATTTTAGAATTTTGTAAGAAATATATAGGGCTATGAACTGACATATTCACCTCACCCCCACACATTGGAACTCTTTCTACACCACATATTTCAACCAGTATAAAGCAGCAATGTAAATACATATAAAAAACCACACACAATTAACATGTGAGAATCAGACACAAGCTTAAGAGGTTTAAAAATATATGCTTAAACCTGATTAGTAGAATTACATAGAAAAAAATATGTGATTAATAGCTTAAAAGAAAAATCAATCCTAATCCAATGAACTCAAACGGGATAAAAGTATTTGAAAGCCTTCACCCTGTATAAATAAAGCTTTAAGAGTATAAGATAAGGCATTTAACACCATGTTTGCCCTAAATCAACATGTTAATGGTTTAATCATAAATTTTTTGAGATTTCAGCAGAATAAAAACAAATCACAATGCACTCAACTTTAACAAAAGTTAAGCAAGGTGAATTAAAGTCACGAATGTTGAGGTCTTTAACCAGGCATACTCAAATTTGCCAGCCAATTGTCATGATGCTTCATACACAAATAACCCCTTATCTGTAGGCCTAAATCTTACATCTTTAATTACTTGATAGCTTTATAATAGTCTATAGCCTACCAAATGGACTCTATGACATGTAGTATATACAGGTGATAACAAATACTGAAACGTTAAGGCTAGGAGGAATTAAGGAGCCACTCTTTAGTAAAATTCTTTTTAGCTCGACAACACATCTTTTGTCTTTATTCATACATATTTTTTGCACAGAACACAACACATAGCACTTTGATCTTGCCGTTTTTATATTTAATATGCATATTCGGATTTCTAATTTTGTATGCTTTGATTGATGTTGATTCACAATTGGCCTAAAAACAATTTAAACATTAAAAAGTTAAGAAGGCCTAAAGACTGAATGAACACAGGAAACCATTTAGACTCAAAAATAATTTATTGATTTATTGAGAGTGATAGAGATATGAAAAATGTAAGTACACTATATTTAGTCAAGCCTAGCAAGTAACTGCCAGCAGGTCAGGATTACACCCTGGTGACCACTGGCTCATCAGCTAGAATCTGCTAGACCAGTCCTGTCCTAAACAGCACATAACTTAGCCTAACTAACACTACCAACAATCTAACTAGATGTAGATCTAACAGCTAAAATTAAGTAGGCCTAATGTTTTTATTTTAAAAATTGGATGCCACGCTTAGACCTAAATCAAATTTTAAACTTCAGTGCACTTCACTAATGTAAATTTTAAAAATTGTTTCATTAGGCCTTTATCTAATATTTTGGGACAAGTTCTAGAGCTAGAATCTAGACTAAAAGATAGAAGTATCGGGGGGGGGGGGGGGGGGGGGGGGGGAAGAGAGAGATTTTATACCAGTGTCCCGATTAGAAAAAGGTGTACGGTTAGGCCTACTGGTAGCTAACTAAAATACACACATACATGGCTTGCAAATGTCAATGCTAACCCTATCCCAAAACCCAACCCTAATTTCTAACCATAAAATTTGTCAACATTACAATACGTAACTTACTACTAGAGTAAAGTGACGTCTACGGACAGACATAGCAAAAAAATTGGAACTCCCGATTTCCATTGAGCGCCATTCAGTAACCGTTTCACATAGAAACAAACCGAAAGTACTGTGTTACTCCGCATTCTTTCTAGTTTAATCACGTCTGATTCATTTTGTATTCATTGGATGTATTAACATTTTTAGTGGTGAGACCACGACGGGGGGACGTTCTGACCGGGATTCAAAGGGTCGACTCGAAATATCATCCCATATTTTGTTCATTTTGTTTCTATTTAAATGATTGAAATAAACATGAAATAAATAATGTTGTTGATAGGCCTAGTTTTATATATTAATATGTTGGAAAACAAAAAATATGAAGAAATATGAAATAGAGCCTAAGTTTTAATTAAATTAAAGTGATGCCTGAAAGAAACTCAAGACCCGGTTGAGATTTTAGCGAAGTGACTACTCGGAAGAAGATTTTTTTGCCCAACGTCTCCACTTAGTCGGGTATGTTTACCTACATAAAACGTCAAGCATCGCAACTTTGAAAATTCCTATTAATCTCCCTATCGTGTGAAACAGAAGAAATTGAACCAGATGTGTTTAAAAATGGACGTGTTGTGTTTGCGGTAGTTTCGTATAAAACATTCATGCTGCGAAAAACAGCAAGGTGTCCACACAGGGGAAACTGTCCGCATATGGCACTTTACTCTAGATCTACTGGAATCTAGATCTAGTAACCACTAACTAGATCTAGATCTAGATCTACTAACAACCCAACACACCTATTTTTGGGAGAGTCCATTAGGACATCGGTATTTTTACAATCATCCAAACTAATTGAACTATCATTCAAGATCTAGATTCTAAATCTAAGCATAAAGCGAGTAAAAATGTAGGTCCAAATATTTTATAGATTCTAAATTGACTTTTTTTTTTTAAATTGAAGCCCTAGCCTTGATTCTAAATCTAGATCTAGATGAGAAAATCTGGACTTGGACAGTTCGACGGTCGTCGTAAGTTCGCTAAGAAGTTGGTTTTCTGAATCTACTATAGTGGACTCTTGAGAGAAAAATGTAGCTTATAATGAATTCAAAACTGTTTATTAAAGGTAAGACCAGATAGAAATCATAACTGAAATACTTACTAAAATGTTAACAAGAGTCCAACGAATATCCACAAGTGGGTATTGATGTGATATTCCAGATATTATCACACGGCCATGTTGGATGCGGTCAGCTTGACTGCTGAATTCTAAATTAGGAAAATTGGAGAGGGCTCAGTTTCGAATCAATAATATTCATCAAGATGGAAATTATTTTAACTCAATGCTATAATTGTGTTAAATTTTGAAAGTATAATATTTGATAATTGAAAAAATTCAGTTTAATTTATTTCAACGTCAACTAGATCTAACTCGTACAAAGTAATTTCAGACACTAACATGTATACCTTTGGTTTCGCATTTTCCAGTTTTAAAATACCATATTTATTAAAATATACTAGGCTATATTTATTATTTTTACATATACAAAACTTATTAGTTTATGATAAATCTTACTTAAATAACTCTATAAAAAACTGATGATATAATTATGTTTCTCCTGCCATTGCGATATTTTCTTTTGAAGCTTAATTTAGCTCATTAACAAAAAACACCATGTACCCGAATCATTTACTGTTAGCATGAAGACCCAAGTGATCTAACCCTAAAGAATTTAACGATTTAAAGAATGTATTTTTAAAAATTAGACCTGAATACACATAGAACTATACGATACTGTATAAAGAGGCCTATTTTTTTTATTAAGAACAGATATTTTGAAACAATCTGCCATTCTATAGTCCGAGATATTCTTAAAATAATTATATCAATAAATTACTATTACAAAGGGACGGAACTATAGCTTAACTTTTGTTCGCGCAGTCATTAAAGCGGTTACTGGACTTAGAGAACAAAAGCTAAACTGCGGATATGCCTTGTGGGTGGAGGAAGGATTTTTACATTTTTTTATTAAAAAATAACCACATAACACCCTCCAGCTTACGACACAGTGGCGGAACTAGTAAAAAAAGGCTCCCCCGCAAATAAAAATTTTGCCCCCCCCCTATATGTATATATATATATATATAGGCCTGTATATATATATATATATATATATATATATATATATATATATATATATATATATATATATATATATATATATATATATATAAGTAGCGTGCTTCTCTAATTTTTAAATAGTTAAATACCTGAGTATTTTAATCTATTTCATTGCAATGTATAACCACTATGAGATAAGGAACCAGACAACAATAAGTCCGAACTCACTTCGGGCCCGCAATAAACTTTGTTTGACAAGTGTTTTTATTACATTTTTATGTTTACCGCAAATTGATAATAAAGCTATTATTTATCAAGCTGGTCAAATTTATATAAACACGTAAGCTTGATTTGTGCAATGGTTTCTCGCGTTATGTTTATTTTTATGATTTTTTGTATTTGTATTATTAGTTTTGAATACATTCATTTTTATACCATTAGGATTCTTTAGTATGCCCTATTTAAATAATAATTAAGAGAATAAATTGCTTTTTAACTTACATAGTACAAAACTATTTAAATGAGCTTTATGGGCACCCTTATTTTATAGAAGGGCAGTAAGTCATGGAAGTAGTGTGAACGTTTGCCTATCTTTCAAACTACAGCTCTTGTAGATTTTATATTTTTCTACGCAACAGTGTGTGTTAGTTACTGTAGAACAATCACTGCTATAGTAAACATGTTTGTTTTTTACAAAACCACTATCAAGGTGCGCGAAAAATATTATTTATGAAAAGAAAATTCATTGGTTTTTTTTGTCGGAATTGGGCCCCTAAACGTCGTGGGCCCCCCGCATTGCGGGGTCTGGCGGCACTGTAGTTCCGCCCCTGTTACGACACTAGGCGTCACTCAATCTGAATCCTCCCCTCGCAATGTACTTAACCATTGGTGAAGTCTTGATCTAATTATTGCAACCATTGGATTCCACGCCTCTTTCTGTTGGTGGCAGTCTACATAATCCAGTTGGTCGAAAGATAAACGGTACAAATAGATATTCATGTCGGACTTAGTTTGTACAAAGAAGCTGTTTGACACTACCAAATGGTATATATATATATATATATATATATATATATATATATATATATATATATATATATATATATATATATATATATATATATATATTTCAGGGGGGGGATTTCTTTCGGGAGAGTTGGGGGCACTGCTCCCCCGAAGAGATACATAAAATAACCACTGATGGTTGATTAGGATTAAAGGAAACGTGTTATCGACTCATCTTGACCATATCGACACTATCCTCGGAGAGAAAACATGATACGATAGCGCGTTGATTTGCGGTGTTTTAATTTCAAAACTAACAATCATTTTCTCTGGTCAGTTTAAGTAGGCGCTATATATTTTCAATATGTTATATATTATTTTCTATTTCGTCCGAGGGATGAGCTGAGGACTACACCCCCCACCCCCATCCCTCGAAGTGATGAGGTGGAAGAAACAGATCAGTCGCAGTGTTTCTTCCAGACTTTTTCTCCGAGAGGTGGAGGGGGCAGTCTAGATTTTCCGGGGGGGGGGGGGGGGGGGGAGGGGGCGGACACTAGTAAAAGTATATGTTTACTATATAAATTCCATCTCATTCGGGGGGGGGGTAGACTTTCTTCGCCCCCCCCCTCCCCCGAAGAAATGCCTGGAAGAAACAGATCAGTCGGATGCTTGTCGCCTCTTTCAGGTGTCTTGACTTTTCGACGTGTGTATGCAAGTTTGTGTGTTTCACTGTTTGTTTTATGTATTTGTTTAGGCCTCCGTTCTATTACAACACATTTCCACCATATTTTTCTGAATTGTTTCAACCCCTCTTTATTTTCACGACTTTCATCGTACGAATGTAGCATTGATCGATTCTATTTCATAAATTCATACACATCAGTGAAGTTAAATTCACAGCATACTCTCTCCCCCAAAAGTTAACTTCGAATAGCCTCGACAGATTTTGAGCACTAATTCGACACATAAACAACACATTTTTTTGGGGTAACTTCCGCAAATAAAACAAAAACAAAACCAATAATTCTGAACCTAAAATCGATGTATAAAAAATGGGTTGTTCATGCTCCACCCACAAGAGAAAAATTAATAGAAATGTTACTGTCGTTTACCCAAAAGATGTCGTTGGAGACACAGATAGTAAGTCAGGAGTTCAGTAACAGGAATCACGCATTAAAATTAATTTCGATTACATTCCTGTTTTAAATTAAAATTCAATGGTATTGAACTAGTCTAAATTCGATTCGACACATTCAAGTACGATACATTCGGGTTAGAAAACGCACGCTCTACGACTCGGACTCTCCCCCCCCCCCCCCGAAATTTTAGTCCGCCCTTCCACCCAAAAAATTTGAAAAATTTCAAGTGCCCCCCCCCCCCCCTGAGAAAAAAGTCTGGAAGAAACACTGATAACACGTATCCCTTAATCCTGATCCTAACCAGTGTTTATTTCATGCATCTTTTCGGGGGAGCACTGCCCCCCCCCCCCCCCATTCCTTCCCCCGAAGGAAATCCCCCTTCCCCTCGAACGAAAAAGAAATATATATATATATATATATATGTATATAACTATGTTATATAGAAAATACATACTTTACCATTGTCGCCCCACCCCACCACCCCCCCCCCCCCCCATTTCGGAAATTTAAGTCTTGCAATGGGTGTACCAAGCGACGCCACAGGTTAGTATCACTAGCCTAAGCATATCATAGGCTCCCATCCGACCCAAGATCTTAACCCTAGGCTGATTTTGATCCCACCCTGTACCCTTACCATAATGTAGACGGGGAATTAAGGCTAAATTATGTACTGCAAAGTTCTATGTAGCCAATATCATGTCTTAGTTGGGGTCTAATCCTAACCTCTCTTTCCTTCACCATAACCCTAAACCTAGTTGCGCCACTTTGCTATTTCGGCGGGGAAAACAACACTGTCCTCCTATCAGTATTTATATAAATCATATATATATATAAATCATATATATATATATATATATATATATATATATATATATATATATATATATATATATATATATATATATATATATATAGTTCTACGTATATATCACCGAAATCCTGGCTACGCCCCAGGTAAAACCTTTCCTCCCACTCACCTGCAGTGGACAGTCTCCTGCTAGAGCTATGCTGTGGCATGGAGCTGGAGAAGGTCAAGTCCAAGCGCCGCAGACTGTGCCGGACATTCTACCTGGACCTGCCGAAGATGATCCTGTTCTACGAGCCGTCAAACAAGAAGATACAGGACTCGGAAAGTTAGTTTCATCTCCAACACCCCACCAAGGGGTCATCCATAAATGACGTCACGCTTTTTTTGACGATTTTTACCTCCCCCCTCCCCTCCGTCACACGACGTCACAAAAAGCCAGACCCCCCCTAAAATGACGTCACACCTCAACCTACAACCCCCCCCCCTAAAATGACGTCACACCTCAACCTACAACCGCCCTCAAAATTGCAGTTAAATTTTTTAAAACATCGATATTTTTCCAAAATCTTGTCTAAACTATTACAATTTTTAAAACAGTTATCTAAAACGCGAAATAAAGTCTAAAATTCGTTTTCTAACATTGCTTTTTATAATGCAAAAATGTGACGTCGCAACATCTGAACTCCCCCTCATCACACATCGTCACAAAATTACTGACCCCCCTCCCCCCTACGAGTGTGACGTCATTTATGGATGACCCCCAAGATAACGTTGAAAGTTAGTTTTATCTCCCCCCTACCAAGACTGAAAGTTAGTTTCCTCTTCCTCCCTCAATCCACCAAGACTGAAAGTTAGTTTCCTCTTCAACCCCCCTCCCACACTAAAATAACACTTAAAGTTAGTTTTCTCTTAATCCATCTACTCACCCTCCCCCCCCCCCCCACCACGCACACAGTCTTATATGAGATGGATCTAGGGACTGATTGCATTCCCTATAGAACTTTTTTTACACCCATAAATCCTCTATACTACATCTAGAACATTGTATTCGCGGTCGAAGAACGATCTTTTGTACTCCCCATAGAACCTCTGTACTCCCCATAGATCTAGAACCTCTGTACTCCCCATAGAACCCCTGTACTCCCCATAGATCTAGAACCTCTGTACTCCCCATAGAACCCCATGTAATCCCCATAGATCTAGAACCTCTGTACTCCCCATAGAACCCCTGTACTCCCCATAGATCTAGAACCTCTGCACTCCCCATAGATCTAGAACCTCTGTACTACCCATAGAACATTTGAACTCCACCAAGAACATTTGTATTCCACATAGAACATTGTTTTTTGTTCCCCGTAGAACATTTTTTTTTCGCTGCACACAACTTCTAGAACCTTTCTACTCCTTAAAATGTGTATACACCTCTATAACATCTGCACCCCCCCCCCCCCCCAGATAGAACCACTGCACACTCCCCTAGAACATAATTTGTACTACCGTAGAAATCGGCCTACCTACATTTTGGAGTTACGATTTCTTTATTTTTAAATTAGAGTGACTTTTCTTTGCACCATTTAAACTAATAAAGATGATTAGATTTATCTTTAGTTAGATCCTGTTGTATAACCAAACTGACCCTGTATTTTTTCCAGTCAGTTTTTCCAAGCTTAAAGAAGTGAGAGAAGGGGAGCGAGACTATTCAACGAAATTTACTGAAGATGAGGTAAGGCAGACAAGTCAATTATTTGCACCTAGGCTACTCAATGTGTAATACAGTTATTTAACTGATCGACATTTACTTTTCAATTATTATTCAAATAAGTAGATAGTAGATGGGCCTAATAAATAATAAATAGACATAATATTTTGCGTTAGAAATTAGAATATACAAAATAACAAGATAAATACTTATGCCCCCCCCCCCCTATACTATAGGCCTACAACTTCTAATAAAAGAAAAAACAACTACCAAATAGTCCAAAAGTAGGCCCTTCTTGTAGCTTTAATAAAAAAAAGATATCCTGGACCTACAGCTAAAAGAATTACTGTTTAGTTTTCGTCAAAACAAGCATAACTTCTTCCTGGATCTAAATCTAATTGTGCTATAATTTAGGCCTAAATACTATATATCTCGAAAAAAATAAAATTAAGATCCAACTCAATGATCTAGATTCTAGATCTAGTTTTAAAACAAAAAAAAAATAATAAAAAAACATTAGACCTATAATTTAGAATTTGAATAGGCTTATTTTAGATACCAATTTTTAATCATTAGCTTTAATATTTCAATGATCTAACCAAGATACACATTTTTAAAGTTGATATGAAAAAAAAATTTTCTTGTTTAAAACTTTAAATAGTTTAATTTTAATATTTTACATTAGGCCAAATTTTTTTGTTTTGTGTTGCAATTTTTTTTTATCTTGATCTTCACTGAAATACTGGTGTTTTGTGTTAACATTTTATATTTTTCTATGCAGAAATCCCCAGTGTTTTGTGTTAACATTTTATATTGTTCTACCCAGAAATCCCAGTGTTTTTTGTTAACATTTTATGTTGCTCTACACAGAAATCCCAGTGGTTTTTTTAAACATTTCCTCTTGCTCTACACTGAAATCCCAGTGTTTTGTGTTACAATTTTTTATCTTGCTCTACACAGATATCTCAGTGTTTTGTGTTAACATTTTATATTGCTCTACACAGAAATCTCAGTGTTTTGTGTTAACATTTTATATTGCTCTACACAGAAATCTCAGTGTTTTGTGTTACAATTTTGTATCTTGCTCTACACTGAAATCCCAGTGTTTTGTGTTAGCATTTTATATTGCTCTACACAGAAATCCCAGTGTTTTGTGTTAATATTTTATATTGCTCTACACAGAAATCCCAGTGTTTTGTGTTAATATTTTATATTGTTTTACACAGAAACCCCAGTGTTTTGTGCTGATTTACAAATCTAACAAAGCCATGTACCTAAAAGCGCCAGACAAAGAAAGCAGGGACAAGTGGGTACAAGCACTCAGATTCAAGATGGCAGAGATGTCTGATCAAAAGTTTGACCAAGACAAATATCCTTGTGCTAGTGTAATCATACTTCAGAGCTAGAGTATTCTTACTTCAGACACGACCTTACAGTTACCACAGACAGATATCATTGAGCTAGTGTATTCTTACTTCAGACATCACCTTACAGATACAGATACCACAGACAGATATCCTTGTACTAGTGTTAAGTTCCTTAGACATGACCTTCTAGAAGCCAAAGAGATGACCTTGTTCTAGTGTTGACCTTACACATCAAACAAAAATTTGTTTGTGAAAGTTCATGTCATTTGATTTTATTGCATTTAATATCAATAGGCCATACTCAGTATAGTAATAGCATGTTCAAAGTTAGTATGCAGACTCATTGTTCTTAAAACATCTCTTTAATTTTTAGTCAAGATTTTGAAGTAACTAACCAATTTAATTATTAGCCTATGGGTAGATTAACCAATAAAAAAACATTGTAGTTTTATTGCCTTAACTAATAATACAAACATACGACAAGCCTTTAACAGGGCAGATGTTAATGGTGACGGCCATCTTGATTTTGAGGAAATTGTGAAACTGCTGCACATGTTGAATGCCGATATAAAGAGGAAATACGCCAGGGAAATGTTTGATGTAAATACAGTGGCACTAAAAAAAATTCACACAGACACACATATATACATCTATAAATACATATACATCTATATACCAACAATATACATCTATATATATTGTTATGACTCCCTTCTCTAATCCTTTCGAATCAGTCAGGGAATTGTAAACAAGAAAAATGAAATAAGAATAAAGTAACACAAATCTCAATTATTTCCATTTATTGCCACAAAATACAACACCTAACGTTAACTCGCCACCACATCGAACACAAAGAGAAAATATACAGCTATCTACAACAACTAAAGAACTTATATATATATATATATATATATACATAAATATATATATATTGGCCTATATATATATATATATATATATATATATATATATATATATATATATATATATATATATATATATATATATACATATATATATACATATATATATATAGATATATATATATATATATATATATATATATATATATACATATATATATATATATATATATATATATATATATGTGTATATATATATAACATTATATATTATACATATATTTACCAATTTTGAAAGTACCAAAAGTGCACAGTTGCCAACTGAGTCACATTGGTGTCACATTGTTTTTTTTTGGTGCGGGTGGGGGGGGGTGCCTTTGATTGGGATAGTCCTATAACCCCTCATAATACCTTCCTCTACATACACCAGTGAGTAGGTGAACTCCTGCAAACAAATTTTTTTTTTAAACTTAGCCTAAATATGATGTATAAAATGACATGTGCAGTACATGAAACCTGTTCTGGATCACACATTATGACGCCATAAGAAATGAAAACATAAGTAAAGATAGTGATAAACTGATGTGTTTATTATGAAATTGCCAACATGATACTATTAATAAATCCTAGACCTAAAGCTACATGAAAAATATTTTATTAAAAAATAGGATTTTGTGAAAAAAATATTTTTAAATTTAAACTAGGCCTTAAAATTGTTAAACTTATTGAATTGAAGCATGATTAAAAAGCAAGTACATTCTCCAAGGTCTGCTATTTTATGTGACATCTGTCATTTTATTGGTGTATATGGAGGGGGGATCTACCAAACTCTTCCCTCCCCCTTGCCTTAACCATTGAAATTGGTACATGTTTAATTGAGGAGATTCATCATCATCATTTCCCCTTCCTGCCCAAGACATGCCTTTGATTCCCTAACGTAAGTTAGTTACCCATCAGAGCTGGGTGGACTCAGGGACGTTCCATTCATTTGAACCTGGATTCGAGCTCCAGACACTCGGGTTAGCTGTCTAGCTCTCTACCGCTAGGCCACGCAACTGAGGAGATTAGGCTAACACTATTTACAGTTGCTCTAGCTGACGGTGTGAATTCACAAACCAACAATGGCTTTGTGTTAGCGTATAATGATTTGTTTACATGCAAAACCAGATAGGGGAGGTCACATGACCAACTATCTCTCTACCCTCCTGTAGGCAGCAGACAAAGACAAAACCCTGGACGAGCACAAGGCTAGCGTGCTGAACAGGGAGGAGTTTGTTGAGTTTTATCATCGTCTGACTCGAAGGGTGGAGATCGAGGAGGTTTATTTTGGGTCAGTCTGTGTGGGTTTATTTTGGGTCAGTCTGGGAAAGATTTTTTGGGTTCAGTCTATCTGTGTGGGTTTATTTTGAGTCAGTCTGTGTGGGTTTATTTTGAGTCAGTCTGTGTGGGTTTATTTTGGGTCAGTCTGTGTGGGTTTATTTTGGGTCAGTCTGTGTGGGTTTATTTTGGGTCAGTCTGAGAAAGATATTTTTTGGGTTCAGTCTATCTGTGTTGGGTTTATTTTGGGTCAGAGAAAGATATTTTTGGGATCAGTCTATCTGTGTTGGTTTATTTATGGTCAAAGAAAGATTTTTTTGGGGTTCAGTCTATCTGTGTGGGTTTATTTTGGGTCAGTCTGGGAAAGATTTTTTTGGGGTTCAGTCTATCTGTTTGGGTTTATTTTGGGTCAGTCTGGGAAAGATTTTTTTGGGGTTCAGTCTATCTGTTTGGGTTTATTTTGGGTCAGTCTGGGAAAGATTTTTTTGGGGTTCAGTCTATCTGTTTGGGTTTATTTTGGGTCAGTCTGGGAAAGATTTTTTTTGGGTTCAGTCTATCTGTTTGGGTTTATTTTGGGTCAGTCTGACTATGAGATATTTATTTGTAGTCAGTATACAGAGTTTATATGTGTTGTATTATAGTTTTTGATGTGCCTGGTCATCTTTACCCATTCATGCCCTAGACACATGGGACAGATGAAGTAGAGTTCACCTGTTTTAACTACCCCAGCATATGAAGGGATAGTGTGGTCACTATGTCCAGCCACCTTTACTTGAGTTAGATTCCCATCAGAGCTGGTTGGACTCAGGGATGTCCCACAGTCTTGAACCCATGATTTAAACTTGAGACTCTCAGGTTAAAAGTCATAAGCTCTACCACCTGACCATGCGATTCCCAGTGTGTACGTTACTGTCAAAAGAATGTTACTCTGAATATATCTGTAAAGGTCTTTACTAAGAGAAAATATCTACTTTTCATCACCATGTCTTTTATGTCTAAGATAATTCTTTATCATAAACAGAAACAGATAGTGCACACCAATATATATATATATATATATATATATATATATATATATATATATATATATATATATATATATATACATACACACTAAGTATATATATATATATACTAAGTATATATATATATATATATATATATATATATATATATATATATATATATATATATATATATATATATATATATAGCTATAACTATTAATAAGACACATAGTATTTTGAGGGTAGATGGGTGGAGGGGGGGTTGGGTCGGGGGGGTTAAGACCCCCTACCCTTAGTCTAACATTCCACTGCCTAAGCTGCTGGTGCACACCCTGATAAAAAATTATGTTAAAAGAGAGTTGTAGGGGCAACATATATAAAAACCAATATTTCGTATATTATACTCATTCTTGTGTGTTTTATATTTTTTTAAAGGTATTCTATGGGTAAAAGTGAAATGACAATTCAAGATTTTTTGAAGTTTCTTACAGATGCTCAAAAGGTATTTGCTTCAGTGCTGTAACATGTCTATAAAATATTTTAAATTGTGAACACACACCTTAATTTTTAAAATCATTAATTTATTATAATAATATATTCCCTTGTAAACAAAAATAAAATATGTGTATTCTTTATTTTTGATTTTATACCAAAGTATTTAAAAACTAGATAAGGAAGATACAGTGTGGTAGTGAACCTTTAGGATGCTTGGGGTGAACTATCAACTTTGTGTCCCCCTCCCATATGGTGTATAATTCTGTAATTCAGCTTAAAATGAGCAATTAAATTATTTTCTACCCCTATTGGCACCCTGGGGGTCGGGACACCCGCCCCACCTGGCCCCTCACCTAGCTACGCCACTGGGAACACACATTAAAATAAAGTTCCCACCAACAGATTTTTTTCATAGTGCCTAGCAATAAATTATTCTCAAATTTGTTGATTTATAGATGGAGAAGGTGACTGAGAAACAGTGTCAGAAGATAATAGCAGAGTTTGAAGAAGCAGCTGAATTTAAAAAGGAAAAATATATTCGGTTGGAAGGTAGTAACAATTTTCAATTCTTTTTTATATTTAGAAATGAAAAGAATAACCAGGGATTATTACATAATTGAAGTAAAATATATCCACTAACAATTCAGATGAGGTAAAGTTTATCCACTAATATGATGAAGTAAAGTTTATCTGCAAATATGACAAACTGAAGTTTATGTACTAATATGACAAAATAAAGTTTATCTATAAATATTACAAAGTAAAGTTTATTTACTAACATGACATATGAAGTAAAGTTTATTCCCTGACAAGACAGATGTAGTAAAGTTTATGTTAAACCATTGCTTATGTATTCATTTGTACTATCAAATAAATTCACTAACATACATCTTTGTCAGGGAAATAACATTATTTTTTAACTGATTGTTTTAACTGATTCTACTTTTTAAACATTTCCTAGATATAGATCCATCAGTACAGTTTACTGTTTTGTTCCATACAATTTTTTGTTCGGATTTTTATTTCAGCCTTTAGAAAATTTTTGACATCTGAACCCCAGGAACTCTTCAACCCCGCCCACAGGGTTGTTTATCAGGACATGACCCGACCAATGACAGATTACTTTATTAACTCATCTCATAACACGTGAGTCAGAATGGTTTGGCTAAGTAACAAAAACTTAATAATATTTTTTAAAATCTGCATATAGCTAACCAGTGTTCATACTCCAGTGAGGTGAATATTAAAATTTGTAAAATGATTCATTAATGAAAAGCCAGCTACTCAAATCTAAATGTAGATTATTATTATTATTACTACTTAAAAAATATCTTTTTTGAAAGAATACAACCTACATTTTATATTAACTTTGGTAATTTTATTATATTACTTCTTAGACTATGTAATAAGGCTACTGTAAAAAACAATACATTTTAAAACCAAAAAAAAAAAAACAACTCCATCTTTCCCTTATCAACTTGCATGAATTTCGCAATACTCTTTTTTCTGAAAAAGAGTTATTGAACATATAACAAGAGTAACATCCCTTTGAATTTCAGTTACCTAGAAGGAGATCAGTTGAAAGGGAACAGTTCAACAGAAATGTATATTACTGTATTAAAGAAGGGGTGCCGTTGTATTGAATGTAAGGATAGTTTTTAAAAAATATATTGTGGTGTCAAGATTTCCTTTTACGTTTTATGAAACAGTGACTCTCAAGTTTTGTAATGCACCAAAGCAATTTTCATTACAAATTTAACTTAGAGTTGGGTCTTTGAACACCACATTTATTGTGCCAAATCTTTTGTTTTACAATTATAAAACAAAAATTAATATAGTAAAATGCTTAACAAAAAACATAACAATGGTGCTGGTATACCTAGAAGGTACCAGTTTATTAAAATCAATGAGGGTTTCAGAACATGTGACACAGGCAGCTGTTTATAATATGAACAAATCAAAAGTTTAATGATTAAAAATAAAGAAACAATTTTTTTAAATTTAGATAATTCTGTCCACCCGTTTTCAATAATAGAATCTTATAGTAAATGGAAGGGTTATGCTGTTAGAAGTAATATAAAAATAGTTTAAGCATTATGGCTATAATTAGAACTAGAGTTTGTAATATATTTGTTATATAAATAAAATTATTTAATAAAAAAAACTAGCAAACTTAGCACTTGTTTTATAAATACATTACAATAAGTTGACAGGTGGGGTCAGCGTGGTCGAGTCGATTAAGCTCATGTTTGCTAAACCAAAAAGTCCTGAGTTCAAACCCACAGTAAGATGAGGCTTGATAGCTGGGGACAGCAACTCTTCTAGGAGAGACAACTCCAAAATCAAACAACTACTGCCTTGTGATTTGTTCTTGGTTGGACAAAGGCTATGGAAGCAAATCCAAATAGAAAGGCAGGCTGAAATCTGAGCATAACAAGTTCATACGTATTACTTAATTGTGTTGGAGGGAATCCCTTCCAACACTCGAATTAAAAACAAAGAAGAATAAAGATAGTTGGTAAACTGAATCCATTACAACATGATTACCACAGTCTCAAGTACAATATTGTGGTTCTTCTCCTGTAATCTCTGTGCTAAATATTTTTGTATTGAATCCAATTGGATAAAATTTCAGTGGACTGCTGGGATGGCCCACTGAATGAACCAATCATCTATCATGGCTACACACTAACTACTAAAATATCATTCAGCAGTGTCGTCAAAGCTATAAATGATTATGCTTTTAGCACTACACCGTAAGTAAAACAAATTTCTTTTTAATTTAAAAGAAAAAAGATTTAATTTAACGTTTTCTTAAATAATAATAATCAATAGCTTTTTAATTGGCGCTAATCTGTAAGTGAAACAAGTGTGTGTTTTTTTTAATCTAAAAAGTTTTGATGTAGGGCCTAAATGTTTAAAAAATTAAATTATAATATAATTTCCACCAAATACCAAACAAATTAATTTTTTTCCCCTATATCACCTTAATCCAGTTTTTTTCAATTCCCCTTGTGATGGAAATGTTATTAAATTAGATAGTCATGCTATAAAAAGCACATTCACTAATGTAAAAGTTAATGTACAGGAACCTTTAATTTTTTAAACACTTTCTAACTGGTAATAAAATATTCATGCTGTATTTTAGGTACCCTTTAATATTATCCCTTGAGAACCACTGCTGTTTAAAACAACAAAAAGTCATGGCTGACATCATGACTTCCATATTTGGTGGTATCCTTTGAGTACTATGCAATATCTACACCAGTAAAAATTAGAGTTTTTCTGTAAAATAAGACACATTATAAAAAAAAAATTCCTAAAAATCAAAGGCCAATCTTTAGATTTAAAGCCCCAAACCAAAACATAAAAATATTATAAATTAAGAGTACTGTTGTTGTCTCTCTCAAGTTCTAACCCTTGAGCAGATGAGGATTGATAGCCAGGGACAGCAACCCATCTAGGAGAAACAACTCCAAAATCAAACAACTTGCTTTGTAGTTAGTTCCTGGATGGACAACAGATATAGAAGCAAATCCAGAAAGAAAAGCAGGCTGAAATGGGGTCAACTGACCAAATAATGCATAACAAGTAAACAAGTAATACTTCATTGTTTTGGAGGAAAGACCGTCCAACATTACCATTAAGAATAAAGTAGAAAACAGTATTATCCATTTCCCTCTTTGAATCCCAGTGTTCTAAGCTTTAGAAAATATGTAAAATTGTCCCATAAACTGACATCAAAGACCTTGAAGGATATAGAGTTTTAAAACATGTAAAAGAAAACATTTTTTTTATAATACCTATTTGCAATTTGCCTATGGACACAATTTAAAAAAACATTAAACAGTTTAGCTGTGGTTTTATGAATGCTTAAAACTTGAAAAAACAGCCATTGACTTTAACAATGGTGTAGTGTTTTTAATGTTTTGATCAGCAAACACAAGGATATTTTTAAAGATGTGATGCCTACCTTTAATGTTAATAGAACTGATACTTTAAACTATAAAAAAGTTTGATACTTTTATTTAAAAATTTAAAAATAAAAAAGATAAATTTGTGGTTATCCTGCAAGAACTATATGGGACAGTGAGGCCTAGAGCTAGAGTGCTAGACAGATAACCCACAAGGTTCCAACTAGAATCCGAGTTCAAGTCAGTATAATGACCCTGAGTCCACCCAGCTCTGATGGGTACCTAACATTAGGGAAAGTAAAGACAGCTGATCAAATTTTGGTGCCTTCTCTAAGACTATTAGGTTTCTTTGATATTTGATTTAACTTTAAAAAAAAAAAGATAAATTGTGGTGCCCCCAGTCGGACTGGATAAAGATTCCTTCTCCTGAAGAGCTGCGCAACAAAATCCTTATAAAGGTGAGAAAAGTGAAGAATGATGAGCCACATCACTTCTATTCTTCCCTATTATAATTTTTCTTATTTAGAAAAAAAGAAGAAATTGTATGAAATAGCAAAATAGTGTTTATTTATATATTTTTTCTGTCTTACAAAAAATCATTTCAATTACAAAATGAATACTTTAAACTACATCACATCACATCTATTCTTCCCTATTATAATTTTTCTTATTTAGAAAAAAAAAAAGAAATTGTATGAAATAGCAAAATAGTGTTTATGTTTATATTTTTTCTGTCTTACAAAAAATCATTTCAATTACAAAATGAATACTTTAAAATACATCACATCACATCTATTCTTCCCTATTATAATTTTTCTTATTTAGAAAAAAAAAAGAAATTGTATGAAATAGCAAAATAGTGTTTATGTATATATATATATTTTACTGTCTTACAAAAAATCATTTCAACTACAAAATGAATACTTTAAACTACATCACATCACATCTATTCTTCCCTATTATAATTTTTCTTTTTTAGAAAAAAAAAAAGAAATTGTATGAAATAGCAAAATAGTGTTTATGTATATATATATATTTTACTGTCTTACAAAAAAAATCAATTCAACTACAAAATGAATACTTTAATCCATGATAGTGTCTGATATGTGCCATATACAATAAATAAACTTTAATTTTAGAAAATATTTATGTGTATTTCTAATTTTTCAAAAATTTACCTGTAATTTATTTGTAATTGTAACGCAAATTTGTAAATTCAACTTACAAATTTATTTATTTTTTAAAAGGGAAAAACTGTTTTAAAAATGTGTTTTTTTTTGTCCCCAAGGGAAAAAGATTGCCTATAGAGGTCAATGACCCTGGTGAAGTTAGTGACGAGGATGAGGCAGCAGAGTTAGATAAAAATGTTGCTGGTGTCACACTCAAGAATAAACCCAGTGGCAAAATGCAGCTGCACCCTGCAATCAGCAGGCTCACTGCCTTGAACTGTGTCAACTTTGAAACTGCAGAGAGATCCACAGGTCTCTCTACTTTTGCTATTGGCATTTTTTATATTGTTTAAAACTTAAACATTTTTTTATTTTAAAATCATTTAAAATTAATAAGCAACATAAAATACATATTTTAGAATTTAAATTTCAAAATTTAAATGTATTTTGAAATGTGGCTCAAAATTTATCTTTGTGTAATGTTTGGATAATTATATAATTTTTTTCTACTTTTCATTTGTTTCTACCCTTTATTATTTAAATGCTTGAAAAATTTATGTATCAATAGTTAATTAGGATTATATTTATACATTTAATTTCAAATTAAGTAGCTACTTGATATCTAGTTACAGTTAAGGAAGTAGCAAAAATATTAAATTTAAATATGTGTAAATCAATTAAGTTTTCCATTAAATATTTAATTTCAAATTAAGTAGCTACTTGATATCTAGCTACAGTTAAGAAAGTAGCAAAAATATTAAATTTAAATATGTGTAAATCAATTAAGTTTTCTATGCTGTTTATAGAAAATTATTTGTAACAACCTTTTCCCCACAGATAAAAATTTTGTTGCTCTAAACTTAAGTGAAGTTATGTTGGATAATATAATCAAGTCCAACCCACAAGTCCTGAATAAAATTTCTCACAACTGTTTGATACGTGCATACCCTGCAGCATATAGAACTGACTCCAGTAACTTTAACATTGTGCCATTTATGATTCATGGTGTACACATACGTAAATATTTAATCTTCTTATAATTTTGTTTTATTATTTCTGAATCATTTACGTCATCTATTTATTGTTTTGTTTATTATTTCTGAATCATTTATTTAATCTTTTTATTGTTTTGTTTATTATTGCTGAATCAATAATTTCATCCTTTTACAGTTTTGTTTATTATTTTCGAATCAATTATTTCATCTTTTTACAGTTTTGTTTATTATTTCTGAATCAACTATTTAATGTTTTTATATTAAAGTTTGAAGAAATCCATTTTAAAGTTGGATTGGAATCTGTTTTATGACACTGTGCCCACCAGAGTTGCTTTCAGGCACACGCCTTCTGCCCCCAAAGCACATCCACAACCCCCCCCCCCCTTGACAAAAAAAAATAATATTGTTTAATGTAGGTAGAATTTAGAGCATATGTACTTTTACCAGTATCGGCCCCTACCCTTGAAATTTATGAAATTTAAGTACCCTCCCTCATTTTTGTTTGTTTCAAGTGCTCCCCCCCCCCCAAGAGCAAAAATGCCTGAAAGAGAACACTGTTGCCCACAATGTGGAAAGTAGTGGTAGCTTAGTATGATTCTGATAACGCAACACTTTATAAGCAGAGAGAACAGGAACTGTTGTACACTACTTTATCTACTTTGTACACTACTTTATTTACTTTGTATGCTACTGTATCTACTTCTGTAAAACGTTTTTCATTCAGTTGCATTAAATTATCAGACGGGTAGTAATCCGATGTACGATAACCATGGCCTTTTTATGGATAACGGTGGAGCTGGATATGTCCTTAGGCCAGATTATCTGCTCTCAGGTAAGAATTGTGCTCGTTATTTTTTAATAAAATAATTGGTAATAAATAAAATTCAGCTCAAAAGAAAACTACCAAAATCTTTTTTTCATTGTAATTTTATGTTTATTCCATAATTTTTCTTAATACTTTTTTTTAGCATGCACCAATTTCACAGAATGAAAAAAAATTTCAAAGTCCTATTTTTTTATTTTCTATTTCAGAAGCCAAGTTTTTAACAGTTCTTCAAAGCTCAGAAATTAAAAAAGTATTAGTAATAACAGTAAGTAGATTTAACATGAATTACATTGACGATTATAGAAGAAAAAAAAGTTAAAATACAGGTATTTAGAGAAATTTGCTAAACCTCATGACGACCCCTTAATTTTAGCTCAAGTAACTTAAAATATTTTTTTTCTCTAATGTTGTAACTCTCATTTGTTAATCTTAAAAAAAAACCACCAAACAGCCTATGTTAAAAGGAGTGAAGAAGATTGAAACATGGAAATCGGTATATATTTTAAAAATATTTGTAACAATTAGTTTCCAATTTTTTTCTTGTAGATTATAAGTGGCTTCCAGATACCCAAACCAGATGACAGCCTAAAGGGTGAAATTATTGACCCTTTTATTCGAGTTCGAATTGAAGGAGCAACGCTGGATCTAGCAGAGTATAAGACTAAAACTATTTCAAATAATGGTTTGTCAGCTTACAATTTTTCTATAAAAAATTGGAAAATGATTTTTAGGTGATGAACAATACATATTTAATGCAGCTAATGATATTATGAACTAATAACATTGAAAAAAAAATCCAAAATAATTTTTTTTAATCATATCTCAATATATATGTACATCAAAATTATTTTTGTTTACATAAAAACACTTTATTTGTACATAAGAATTAATTCAGCTATTAGTATTTTATAAAATTGTATCTCGTTGTTTGAAGTAATTTTTACTCACATAATTACATTTTTTTACAAAGAAATGGTAAATCTCTGTTATTTAAAATAAAAAAGGTTTCAACCCAAGATGGTATGAAACATGTGTGTTTGGATTGAGGGTTCCAGAAATTGCACTATTAAAGTTTACGGTGTTTGATGAAGACGTGGAGAAGGACGAGTTTGTGGGTTACTTCTGTCTGCCATACACCAGTATCCGAGAAGGTGGGGGTTCACTTCTTTAAATTGTACATAACTCTATATAACTAAACATTTAGTTCATCACTCTTAAAATTTTTTTAATTTATGAAACATAAAGTAATAAATTAATTGTGTTATTTTAAAGTATAAACATTTTAAAAAATATATTTGCATCAATTATTAACAAATATTAAGATATTTGAAATTTAAATTAGAAATTTAAAATTAGAGCTAGAAATAAAACCAAATTATTAATATTAAGTATTTTACTATTTACCAGCATTTTTAAAGGGTTTATTTAAACAACATTTTAGTATTTTAACAATTTTTTAAACTGTAATAATCTGTTTAACTTTCAGGTTTTCGACATTTCCCTCTATTTGACAGAAATGGTGTGAAGTTTAGTCAAACATTAATGTTTGTGCATCTCAGTATCTCAAATCCACAATCTTAATTTGATCACTTAGTTTTTAATGGAATATAAACAGTAACAAAACAACATGTACAAGCCAAATTTAGTATATATTAATAGTAAAATAAGTCATTTGATTTTAAAATCATTGACAAAAAGTGTCTATGTGTATAATATGAGAAATATCTCCAAAGTAAATAATTTTATGTTACTATTAAGTCCATTGTAATTTATTTGTTTGACTTCTGTCAATATTAAAACTATATTTTAAAACATAGAACTTCTTTTATTAATACTTATTTAATTTTCCTAATTTGCTTTTGTTGTTTGAAAATTTTGGTTTCTCAAAATGCCATAGAATTTGTCAGAATTAACAAGTCGCAGGCACAAATTATAAGATTATCTAATTTTCATGTTTGGGTTTCTATCATAAAAAACATGATATTTTCAACAAACACTATTTCCCAAATAAAGAATGGTTTAATTGTTTTTATAAACCACCTTAATCCTTATAGATCTATAACACAACTTTTATAGGACCCTTCCCAACTAAGTCATGATTTACAACTTCTTATTAATCCAACCATTCTAAATAGTTGACTATTTAAAAACACTTTAAAGAAAATCAAAGGCACTATTATATAACTCTAAAAGAAAGCTATCATTTAATAAAAAAGTATAACAGTAGTGTTCTAACATACATTTAGCTCAAGTGCACTCAGTTTTCAGTAATAATTGTGTTATAAATCTAAATATCAACTTGACTTGATAGAAATGTTTTGAGCCAATAGGGTATTTTAGCAATGTTAACATGTTGTTAAAATTCTCTGTCTTTGGTCAATCATCTCAATATTGACTTATTTTTTGTGTGAGGATAATACAGGCTACTCTTCAATATTTGTAAAAATCTAATTTTATGGTCTAAGGGAAGTAATAAAGTAAATATGTTTTTGGTTTAAAGAAGGTAACAGTTATGCACCCTCTTTATTAATATTTGACCTACTAGGGCTATTATTTCAAATTTTATTTAGACTGATAGTTAGTTAACACACAATTTGCACAAATTAAATAATGTTGTAAAAAAAAAAAATTTCCTTCAAAATTGATATAGAAAATACAGAAAATTTGTATTAAATTTTTACAAAAAATTGGAATTTCAATACATAGAAATTAGATTTTTTTAAATCAATACATTTCTTTATAACTATTATTTAATTATAGAATTTTCGGATGGTAAAAACTTCCAAACTAAAATTGAAAATTCTATAGTTAAATGCTCTATAAATTAATGATCAATAATTTAAATTTTTTGCTGAATTTCGAAAGTATAAAAATCATTCATAAACAAGTAAACATGTTTGTTAATTATTGCTGTACTGTAATCATAAGAGTATTTTAAGCTCCCTGTTCGAGAAAATATATTTTTAAGTTAATTAGTAATTTGATTTATTTAAAATACTTTAAAAATTGCAAATAAAGAAAAATCGCTTCAAGGGTAGGCCACTCTTACAACCGTCAAGCAAGCATATAATAACACTGTTATCTCCCTTTGACCAGGAATTTAATTCTAATTTATAAAGAAATGGGTCAACCATGAAAAACAAACAAGAACGATATAAACCGAGTTTTACAAAATAACCAAACAAATAGATCTACTTCTGTTGAAAACAATGAACTTATTTCTTATAAAATATTTTTTTAATCGTGAAAACGCAAACTTATATCTGACTAATAATATATTGTTTCTTATTTTGTAATCATACAATTTTTTTTAAATAAAAAAGATACGCTTGAATGATCAGATGGTTATCAGATGGGTGTAAAACAGGGCATGTTAGCGTGCAGCGTGTGTAGTGACTGTGTGAACGGTGCATATTTAGTTTTGTCATCTTTTTTTTTCCTCCTCAGTTTAGACTAGAATACCGTAGTTGGCTATCATTACTTAATCAATTACTTCGATTAAAAATCTTCTGCTCTTATGTTTTGGTATGTAGATCTATATATTATATATAACTATAACTTATAATGTGAAGTTATTTTTATTTTTTTAAAATTAGATCTATATCTTTTACCAGGATATATTTAAAACCTAGATTCTACTTTGGAGAATACAATATCTAGTTTTTATCCCTTTTCATTGTAAGGCTAGAGTGTAACGTTAATGTTAGGTATTGTATTATATATAGGGCGAAGGTTTGGGTTAGGAGGTGAATAATAGTTAGATCTGGCTTGAGTAAGGTTTGTGATTCGTTTTGATACGTCACTATTGACAAAACCGACTCGAGCGGATTGTAAACAAAGTTTCCAATCGCGTTTAGCCGTTGGACTAAAATAAATTTTAATCACGTGATCGTTGATCAATAATTATAAACAACAATATTATACAACATCTGTCACATGTCATTATCGATCAGAAGCAGCTAGAGAGTTCAGTTTGTCGACATAAATCAATCAGGTGTAAAAATAAACTTGACATGCTTTGAGTATAAATCAATTTTGCCAACGACGTACAACGCAATGTTATTCTAAACTAGATCTAGCACTAACATTTTTTAGCGTGACCTACTTTTTCAAAATAGCTTCTATTATCGCTAAATTTATCGATTATTTCTTTAGGTTATAGGTCAAGGTTCACCCCTTTCTAGCCATACTGGGTTAACGTTTAAAATCAAATAAACTTAGTTATCTAGAAAAACATGGCGTGTTCTGTGTAGGGTAGCGACTATAATCTATAGACTAAAAGTGTGTATTGCTAAGTACAGGTAAACAGTTAAACAATATATCAATAAAGTAAGTCAAGCGTTAGTAAACGTTATATTTACGGAACTGTACCATATGAATAGTTGTTTCTCGTATGTGTAAGATCAACAAATCAAGTGTCAGCTTTATTTATTATTTAGACCAGAGAACAGAAGATAGTGAGGATTTTTCTTGAATTGTTGTGTGGAAAAATAATCAGATTTCAGGTAATTTCTCTTTGTTGCTTACTTAAATCAATTTATTTTGTGGTTGAATTGTTTTACTATGGATTTACTCTTACTCATGTCAAATGTTAAGCTCGTATCTTTATACATAGAGTTGACTGTTGATGTATGACTATGAAAATTTAATTTTTATTCTTTCATTTTGCAATGAGCATGAAAAACGTCACTTTAAATAGTTCTAACACTTATAAAATAAATAAAGCTGAAGTGAGCTCCACTAAAATTTCACGTATATAAACAGTAGCCTATTCGTAAAGATCTAGGCAGTAACAGTAAGTGCTGGGATCAGTGGCGTAGCGAGGTCGGGTGTCATCCGGTGCGGCACTTAATGGTGTCACCCCCCAGAGGCGTAGCGACCCTTCCCGGGGACAAACTTTCAAATTTTCGATTTCCACCCCCCTCAAACTTTCGATTTGCACCCCCCCCCCCCCCTCAAACTTTCGATTTGCACCCCCCCCCCCCCTCAAGTTTTTCTCGATATATTTTGCTATTTTTTGCCTTGGTGTCACCCCCCCCCCCCTAAATGGTGTCACCCGGTGCGCTCCGCACCCCACCCCCCCCCCTCGCTACGCCTCTGGCTGGGATCATGGGGTGACCCTTCCAATTGAATCGGTCTATAAAATTAAAAATGCTCAGACTAATAAAATCAATATTTCCAGTTGAAAAAAAGTTTATAATCCTTTAGAGAATTTGATTTAAAATTATCAAATTCTGAACGTCTTTTGAGAAACACTTGAAGAAGGAAAGTGGCCTATTACTTCCGGTTATCGGAAACCGTTTATAAAGTTGATTGACACTAACTTGACTAACTTATATGAAATTTGGTCTACTTCACTGATGGCACTAATGGTATCGTATGCACACAAAGGCAATATTGCTACACTGTTTTTCTTTCGTACAAGGGAAACGTCGATATTTTAAGCACGATTACAGTATGTGCCCTACTCCGTATACGATAATGTACAAAGTAGTGTTGACCTTTTTTTTAAAAATCTATTTTTAATACATGGAAACGGGTGAGTATGACGTCCTCATAAATCAGCAACTAACTCTTCATTCTACTTCCTCCCGGGGCGAATTAACTCTCACCCACCCCCTCCCAATTTCCCCTCAATCCACTAACTTTACTCTCTATTTGAAAGGAGCCGCCATACTAAGTGAGGTATATAGGGCAAAGGTCACCACCCGGTGTAAGATTTAATAAACATCCGGTAAAACAATTCTGTACTGTGGTGTGCTTTACGGGTCAGTGCACACAACATCTCTACACTACAGTTCTGTTTTCACTCTGTTTTACAGGTGTATTTTGGCTAACATGTCCTCTGCCGTAGTGTTAAGGGTTATGTTAACAAATACGAGTGAGGATTAGGTTTTAGATTATCGTTAGGGGTGTGTATACTCACTATACTGCCTTAGACCGAAACAAAGAAATGACGGCTTGCAGGATTATTTTTAGTGAAAACACAGGGACGGGATATAGGCCTGCCTGTGGCCCCTAGCTGAACCCCAATAACGGATAACAGGGAGTGTTAGACCCATACCGCAACCCTTTTTATAATATAACAAAACATTTTATTATATCATATTTTTTTATAACTCAATCAATTTTCTTAATATTATTTCACAATTAAATATAACATGTCACTATTAATTAAGTAGGCCAATTATGCCACAATTCTATTATAACACTAATTAGAATCTATAATATATATTAACAATTCAAGTACAATGTTTTGGAAGCGGTGGTCCATTATGATAAAGACACCTGTCCCGCCCCCCCCCCCCCCAAACCCCTGCATATGAGGTAATTTTGTGGTCAGCACGATCCCATAGCCCTCTTTACTTTCTCAGGTTCGAATCCCATCAGAGCTGGGTGGGATCGACGATGGGCTATTACTCTTGCCACTCGACCACAACGTATATTCGGTCATAGCTGCAAAAAACAACAAAAAAAAATTGGGAAAGAATGGTAGAGGGGTGGGCGGGGGGTGCTGGCTGCAGTAAGGTCAAGCTGACACTGGGTCTAACACTGGACCAGAGGCGTAGCGACGGGGGGGGGGGGTACATATGTCCCCGGGCGCCGACAATTGGGGCGCCAAAATAAGCTAGTTTTAGCT